CATCACTTTAGACACTTCCATGCGATGGCTTTTGTCAAACACTAAGCTCCCCGCCTGCCCATGTAGAGCCCCCCTTAAGTAGACAGAATATGGGGTATATGGGGATCTTATTATAAGAAACCCAAAGCCAGATTCTGTCTACTTAAGGGGAACTGTATACCGTATACCCCATGCCTTTCCCGGCCAGGAACAAGAGAGAACATTGCTCCACCTTCCCAAAAAAGGTTTCCAGCACATAGATCAGCCCGCATGCAGGCAAGTCTTGAGAAAGCTAATTCCAAACGTGAACCCTGAACTTGAGACCTGCAAGCCGAAACCCCGACCTTGACTCCCAAATCCCGAACCCTACACCCCGAAACCTTGACCTTGAAACCTAAACCTCAGAGAGCCCTTAACCTCCAAATGAACACATGGTACTTGTAGTTGTTTCAACTATGTTTGTTCCAAACAATACTCTAGCCACAAGGCAATGTTCGCTGTTTTGGTCAGGATGTCCCTGTAAGGAAGCGTACTCCCAATAATCCCTGCTTCAAAGGGCATGTAGAACAACCCCTATAATCCCAATATACACCCTATTATAATATAGTAGTTTCCATTTTCTTTTCCACTATCCCAATATGATTCCAACATATACATATATACCCTATTCTAGTATAGTAGTTTCCATTTGCTTTTCCATTATCCCAGTAGACACAAGATACAGAAACTCGCAAGTCTCCTCGGTCCTTGGGCCCTGACACTTGTCAAAGGAGGCGCAGGAGAAGGCCTGGGCCCAACCTCGCAGTTGGGGTCTGGGGGTGTTTGTGGATTTACAGGTTGGGTTTAGGCTTTAGGATTTAGGGTTTAGGACCCCAAAAGTATGCAAAATAATGGCCTCCATGGCTGTTATTGAGGGTTTAGGGTTATTACTTTACATACTTTTGGGGTTTAGGCAAGTTCGAGGGCATGTGATGTAGGACGTTGCGCTTGGGATCTATTTTTTTTCCGATCTAGGGCTTGGGTATCTGAAATTGAAGGTGTTGTGCAACTGCAAGCGGATGGGGAATGAAGGAATTGGCTATGGGGTGTTTTGGGGCGTTGCTATATCTCTTACAGGCAGAAAGGCAGAGGGTTGAGGGGCTAAAGGGGGTTGGGGGTTTAGGGTTCGGGCTTCGGTCAGCTTTCGGGGGGCGGGAGCGAAGGCAGTTCCTCCTTATCGACGCATTGTTGAACGTCTTTACTCAGCTTACTTATGCTTACTTCCTAAACCCAAAACCCCCAAAACCCTGAATCCTCCTTGCGGTCTTCACCTCTTCCCTGCCACCCAGTTTCACCTCACCAGGCATCCTCTGGTTTTCATGCTTATGAATCGGGGCAAACTCTCGGGCTTGGTGCCTTGGGAACCATGACTGCCTCCGCTCGGAAGCTTTGGCCCAGGTCGGTCCAAAAAGTAGAAACCCCAACATGGTACCCTACCCCCGAGCTGCAGTATACTGCGATTGGACGGTTTAACGTTTGAATTCTGAAGACGGATCGATCTACTGATCTTCTTTTGTAGATCCTCCAAGTGTCCAGAGACCGGGGACTACCCAATGGCCGAGAGACTCCGTGCGTCAGGTCTGGGACTGCGCGAGAGGCGCCTTGGGGGTAAGCAACACTGCTAAAGAGGGAGCAGAAAAGGATTTGCTCAAGGATTCTGTAGCCCTTGGAAACTACACAGCAATCATGGCAACCAGTCATCAGCGAAAAACAAGCAAACCATGATCGAGAAGGAGACTGCAAGTTTAGGGGCGTGTTGGGGATACAAAAAGGCAAGGTTCAGCGTCCACATTTAAGAAAAACAATGGGGGCGGCAGATGTGGGGTTCATACCCCTGCCGATACCACCATACAACATCATCACAAATTACATGCAACAACGAACATCACTACGCCAGCAACGATCACCCTCGATTTGATGATGACCGCGGCACGATGTGAAGGTGACCTCCGCCTCATACTCCTCCACCAGGGTAACCTTTGCGCGGATTTATCCAAGGTCGCAACCGTAGGCCACAACAAAGGCCCGTGACTCTCCGGTACCTATCCTATACTTACCTAGCAAATACCCCGTGTGCCCTACTGACCCTTGAATCCTATACAAGAGGGAAGGCCCATATCGTTTCACAATGAATGCAGGAGACAGTTACCCTGAATCTCCTAACTTAGAAGAGAACCGTTGTCAAATGCAGACTAAGCCCACTTCTGACAGGAATCATGAGTATAGACACTGCAGGTACTGAAAGCTTTAGCCATCCACAAGGGAGGAATAAACACGCTTATGAGCATCCGCAAGATTCCGGCCACCCAACCAACATGATTCCAACAAGGATAGCCTTGTCAAATACTGCTCCTTCAACAAGGATCTCTACAGCGTTCCATATGAACTCAGGGGAGGGTAAGCCCTCAAGACTAAGTAACACCCCGTTCTTGCGTTGCTGTTGTTGCCTGAGGTTCCTCTTTCTGTGATCAAACAGCCTCTACACGAGAACCTGCGGTTTTCTCAAAATGACGGATCTATATACAACTTCGAAGCATCAGCCCTTCTTGTCAAGCCGCAATAAAAGACCGCCCCTGCTGGCCGTGTAGTTCTTGGAAGCCCGTATGCCAATGTATTGTGTGTGTGTATGTATGTGACCGCTAGAACCATGATGTAATCTCTGTCCCAAGGAAGGAGGACATAACGTTCTATGATAGACACCTATAGACCTCACTGCAATCACCCTAGAAGCGGCTTCTAAGCTCACTTTCACCCCTAGAAGGATATCCACATGCGCACATGCCGGAGAAACCGCTGAACACTTTCAACCATGAACCCTAACTCCCAGCCGAAACCCCATAATCCATGTCCTCCATATCTGCGCTACAAACCCCTGACTCCCTATAACCCTCGCGAAAAAATGGACCCCATGCGTGCGGCACCACGCCTTGAGCTGGTCGATGTGACGTTTCAGCTTCTCAGCAAAGCCAGAGGGCTCAAGGCCGCTACTCTCCATGGGCGGCTTAGGAGGTTGCCTTTCCCTAGGGATCCAAACGGCCCAATGTTAGGAATTTAGGACCAGAGGAGAGAGTGTATGGGGTGTTAGGTTGAAGGGTAGAGGGTGTTGAGTGTGGAGAGTCTAGCTAAAGGTCAGAACATACTATATATACGTAGGTCAAGAAACGAGCCCAAACTAAGAAGCTCAGGAGAAGCTATCAGCACTGGCTATGGTGACACAGGGGCAGTTGACCAAAGCTCGCGAACTTCCGTGTCCTTTCTTCCAAAGGACCAGAATCAATAATGACAACATGTAAGACGTTGAGAGACTTTCCTTTGTTTAGCAGGTTCTGTTGCAATTTGTTGTTATGGCTCAAGTGGTATCTGTCGATAGTATCAACCCAAGAAGGGCCTCACGGCTATCACGGAAAATGCCGCGCTATGTATTTCTACGCCTGGAGCCAGTTCAGCGGAACAAGCAGCACTTTTCATTTCTTCAAATTTGCCGCTACTCGATGTGCACTGTTGGCGCTATACTTCAGTCTTATGGCGCCATAGCTGTACGACTTCTGTTGCTCGGTATGCGCGGTGCAGGGCACACATGAGATCTGGGCCTTTGACTTTGAACATGTTGAGTGATGCACTCCCTGTTATCCTACATTAGTTATGAAGACAATGGACATGGGACCCGTTTCGAATACCATGAAAGCTATGCCACTGGACAAGAGCAGCCCCAGTGGAGCCCCGTGCCCATAGTCCTATGGCAAGCATAATAAGCATATGGGTGATTGTCAAAATGATGATCCCTTCTTGGGTACCCAGAAGTTAGGTGTCATATTATAATAGGGAACTTAAAAAAGTACCATGATTTTGACAACCACCCATATGTATGAAGTGTGGAACATATACCGACACTCGTACAACGCAAGACTTGCAGTGCAACGTGGGAAAAGAACAAATCTTCCAGCAGTTGGCAGACTTGTCCCCACAACCTCAAGAGCTCTCTGCAGAATACTTGCCAATCTTTTCCACAAATGGGCGAAATAGCTAGGTAGACTTGCAGGCAATTACGAGTAGAACTTATTAAACCCTGACGGCCACCCAGGGTTTTGGAGTTTGGGCGGGGCTGAGGATTTGGTCTTTTGGGGTGTATAAGGGTCCCTCCAATCATGTCAAATGCTTGGTTTTTTGATGCAGGGTACGTTACTCGCAGTTTATCAAGATGATTGGGGTCTCGGCACTGTGATCATCAACACTTTGCAGTTCTGTCGGGGGCCTGTTCCGAGAGTCCCCGCATAAGCCCTCGTTTTGCCGGAATCCGAGCGGGAATGTGTCGTACTTGGAGGTTTACTGTTTGTTACAAAGGGTGGCAACATCCCAAACCGTTCAAACCATGATTGTCAATAATTATCTTTTGTCTGCCAGATCCCTGCTTCTTGCTACCCATGCACCTCCAGCTATGTGGGGTTACCAACCTTAAACTCAACGCCAAGCTCCCTCGACCCACCTCATGCGCAATCTCGCGCTCTCGTCGTCTCTCGCCACGTCCGCAGCTGGTGCTGCAGGAAGACCTGCGAAGCCCGTCTGTCTGGACACGGAGGCTTTACCCGACAAAAGAGGGTGCCGCTGGAGACCTTGGGGATTTGCAGAGAATGCAATGGCATTTCAAAGTCAATGGTTTCCTTGAAAGGACTGCATAGGGAATGTTGACCGTCTGAGAGGAGGTACACATTAATGTCAGGCTCACACAGCACCTTTTCCGTGGGGTAGATGTTGCTGACGGCTTTGCCGGCCATAAGCGTCAATGACATCCGAAATGATTCGGTAAGGCCAGAAGGCGGGCTTAGCCCGCGAGGTTCAAAGCTGTTCCTTTGTCCATCCGATATCAGGTGGGCTTAGCCCACAGAGTTCAAAGATGTTCCTTCGTTTGACCGGACTAAAAACTAAACCACTCAACTAGTTGCTTTGCTCTACGCAACGACAGAACCGCTCTTGCAGAGACTGGGTCAATCGGACTTGGCAAGCGATTGCCGCACCCCGGCTGTGGCTGCGCTTGTCAATGCTATGTTGACAGATTCGGTCATCAGCACTAACCTGTTGACATTAGATTGAAATCGGCGTTGCAAAGGTTCCATGGTGCTCCAGGACTGCCAGGAAGTGATCATGTCGCGCTCGCCGGTGTTGGCAGCATCCAACCTCGTGCTCAAGGCATGGAACCTCTCCAAGGATTGTAAACTCGCTGCCAAAGAAACGCACACCATTGAGAGCTCAGTCTGGTTGAAAGTGGACAGAAGAACACCCGCAGTCCCGAGGAGCAGCATGAAACTCTCAAGCACGCCCAGCTGGAGGGCAAGCCAAAACGCCTGACTCCTCATCTTCCCAAGCACGCCCAGCACACGGGCTCGATAGTACTCATCGACCCCCAAATGACCATACTTGGCAAGTTGCTCTTCATCCGGTGCCTGCGCGGATGAGTAGTTCTGACTTGGCTTCAGCTCACTTTGCTTCTGCCATCGTTTCCTGCGGAAACACCTGCAGAACAATACTTCTTGGCTGCTTAGCTGCGGACGCGGAAGGCTGTCACATGCGCCAGACCCAGTATGCAACGAACTGATTCCCATCTCTTCCACTGCGGAGTTGAAAATGTTCGTGACTCTCGCATGGAACAAGTTGCGGTTCTCATCTTCAGCCCTCAACTTGCTCAGCGCAACCATGGACTGCTTGCCGTGTTCTTCGCCCTCGATACTGGAAACCTTACTAGTTGTCAGTAGGGAAGGAAGGAATGAGAAAGAATGTGGAAGTACATATTCTTTGGGCACATATACATATAGAGGCTACTATAGGGATCCATTATCCATTCCTTGCTTCCTTACCAACAACCGGGAAACTCCACGACCAACAACCATATAGTCATCGACACGCATACGGAATTTCCAGATCTCAGCTTGCAAGTGAACGGCCGCAGACATTGCTTTACTCCATCGCAGGGTAAAGCGAAACCGTGCTACCAGTCCTGTAATAAAAGTAGTCAAGGCGGACACCGCAGGAAGACTCCACTGCTGGACGCCGTCTGGCAGCCAAATGAAAGGAGTGGCATCACCCCGCACCAAGGCCAGCAACAAGGACAGAAGGTTCAAGACGAGGAGAAAGTATACCATGAACACCTTGCTGGTGCGTAAGGGGGGGAGTGGGGCAAGCGAATATTCAAGGGCATCATACAAGAAATGTTGTAAGGATCCAATCCCCCACTCTTCCTTGAGCGCAAGTAAGACACTGCCCATCGCCTTTCTTGCATGGCGGTAGCAAGTAGAAGCAGCTCGAGCTCTCCCGCTGCCTGCGCTCTAGAACTCAAAGTGTGTGAGCCTGAATTTCTGATTAATGCTTATTGACAGGGAGTACAGGGCGATGAAGAGTTGTATAAAGAGGTATACTACAGAAGCCATTCCCCAATCCAAGCTGAACATGATTCAGGTTATTTTCCTTGTTGAGTCAAGGTATGGGACTGGAGCACTTTTCTTTACATAACCTTTGGCGTTGAGCCTATACACCCCACCTGCATGAAGAAAATTAGAATAGCTTCATGATTTCCAAGGCTTGGGTTTCCGAAGGTATGAGAGGTACTTTAAGACATTGGTTGAAAAGGCTCTGGATGTAGAGCTTAGGATTCAGGGAAAATGTTGGCCAGCCAGCGCGTCAAAGGCGCAAAGCCCATGAGACACGCTTGCATGGTCCTCACTACCTGAACCTTTCGCACTTGTTGAGCGCTTTGCGCGTTTCGTGTATTGGAAACCCAAACTCTGGACAACAATTTCTCATGCCTTTCCGTCTAGAAAGATGCAAGGCCCTTGTCCACTTGTATGCTTCTACACTCAACTGCTGATAGAAACTTGATAAAAGCCGTCAGTTCAACTGACCCAACCTGACATCCCCGCACCCTACCTAGACCTCCTCAACACTTCAACAACAGCCCCCCTATATGCATATAATATATGCGTATTATTTGTATGTATATATGTTATAAATATTTACAGGCAAAGGATTCGAGGTTTAAGGCTGCTCTCTTTGGCAGGTCTAGGTACACGCGAATGGTGGGTTCTGAATAGTAACTTTGTTCGGAATAGAGCGAAATCCAGCATGAAAGGAGTAATAAAAATGGGTTCGAAATAGAGCGAACTTTTTGTCTGAACGGATTAAGAACAAGACAGGAACGGAATCATTCCATGCTCTGTTCTAAAGATGCCCAAAAGAGGAACAAAACAAGAAACAGAGAGAAGAGAAGCCAGGGGTTAGGGTCTAGGGCTTAGGGTTTATGAGTTCCTCTGGGACCCTCACAAACAAGTTTGCCGAAATTTGATTAGGCGACCCCGGAATATTTGGAGGTTGTTTGGGGGAGGGGGGGGGGACTATTTAGAACTCCCCATTACACCGTTAGGCTTGAACTAAATGCTCTAAGCCGCACGGCATCTCTGAGCACACAGTTCTTAACGCAAACATTCTAATCACTTCCGCGCTATACACAGCAAAAGCACCCGCCCCTAATGATAAGCGCTCCGCTGTTATATCATCGGAAGGTATCGGGAAAACAGGCTTTTGGGGACCGGAGGAGTTGAGCACATCATTCTTGGAGGCGAGGACTACTCCAACCCACAAGCTACGTGCTCAGCATCTGGCCTTTCGGAAAGACTGGGTTATTCCAAAATGCCCTATAACGGCCACTTGGGATATGTATCTAAAGATACACATATTTATATACAAATGTAATTGTATGTATCATTCAGAGAGAGGCCGGGGTTGATGGGGATTACATGGGGATTGCTTTGAGATTTTTAAATTTTCCCTTGAATGAAGGGGTTGGCAATAAGACCTTCTTGCCGGGCCAGAAAAATCCCGGAAGATAACTTTTGCTTTCAAACCAGTTCGGAGCCCGAAAAGATGTAAACAAGGTCCATCTGTAATAATCAGGGGGTGGCAATAAATATATTGTCCGCACGAAAATACCCCGAGCGAAACAGTTTTCCTTCTACTCGTATTACTAGTACCACGAGCTGCATATCTAGTCCTACCCCAAACCCCTGCAGGTTCATTATTGGGACCCCCCCTCCCGCACACCAAAAACGCACAAGATCTGGGGGGTATTCTTTATTGGGAGGTTAACATTAATGACCCTTAAAAATCAAAACCTGCCTTCACTGCCCCAACATCCGCAAAGTTGGAGGTGTCGTTGCTGGCCACAATGGCAAAGTTGCTCAGGCACAGAGACAGTTTGTCCTCTGTTTGCCCGCCAGAGGTGTCTGCAGGGTTCAAGGGGTCCAGAACCACACACAACTTCATGATTTGTAGGCCCCTGCGAACGTAGGTCAGAAAAAGCTCACATATCTCCGGCGGAGAGAAATCGCAACTTCCCATTGATGACACCATTCTAGCAACCACCTCTGCGCGCAATTCCATGCCGCGATTTCGTTTCTGCATTAGAGACTCGAACAAGCTGCTACGGCCGACTTTGTCCAGGAAGTAGTCAACTGGCTGGGTCGTATGCTGATCATCCGCTTCTTCGCTGAGCCCCTCGACTGACCTCGAGAGCTGGGGCTTACCTTTACCTTTGGGTGTCCTGGATGCTTCATAAAGCTGCGAGCAAATCAACTCATGACATCGGGCGAAATCTTGGGTGATTCGTCCTGTGTGATTCACACAAATAACTGGATAGCCATTGGCAAGCCTGGCCATTAGCTCCTGCTTGCTGTTCATCCCACCTCCCAGGAAAATGCAGCCACTTGGCGCAAGGCAATGCAGGTTCAGGACGTCAGTGGGCTCCATGCTGAAGATGTAGTGCGTACCTCCACGAAAATGCCAGTGATAAAACGGAATCTTGCGAACATCGGGCTCCCTATGTGACTTACAGGTCCAGCCCTTCTCCTCGAGGTGCTTGTCCCAAAAGCGATCATCCAGCTTGAGCGGCTTAGTGATTGGCTGATTGAGCGGCTTGGCATGTTCGAGCATTCGCGCTGTCATTATAGCAGCTTTCACTCGTGTCTGCTCATGTTGAGAGTCGGAATCCGGCGTCGCCCTGCTTGCCAGTCGTGCTGCAATTTCAACAACACTCGTGCGAAGGTCGACGTCCTCTCGGCCTTTCACCAGCTCCCCCAAGGTGTCGGCGCCAAACTCTTCACGCAACTCCAAGTCGCTTTGTATAAAATCACAGACTGATTTATACCCGTAGCGACTCTTATTGAAGCAGTCCACAACCAGGATAACTGGTTGCTCGTCGCAGCGCTCGGCCACCTGCTGCAGCAGCAGTTGACCACCAGCGGATACTCCCTCCACTAGAATCCAACAACGATTTCTCACGCAAGCTCGCACGATAATGTCGAGGAGGTTGCTGACGGATCTGTACAAGAAGTCATTCAGCAGCTTCAGTGCCTCATGAGCCACCTTCTTCTGCCTTACTTGTTCATTCTCTTCAATTGTAGGCAGGTCTCCAGAAGGATAGTCAGCAGGAACGTTGCGAGAGGATTGAGCGGCGGCAAATTCCCTAAAGTGCAAATAATATTTGTAGACTTCGGAGGATCCACCATCGTTCTCCATCTTGATCAGCTCATTTTCATCCATGAAACGTCTCGGGTGGGCAAAACCAGTTGAAAACTTGATCAGCAAATGGGGCTTCGGCAAATTCCAATGCCTGAGGATTGCACCGAAAATCTCAGGAGACCTTCCAGCGAGGTCATGAGCAGTACTGGGAGGAACGTACACAAAGTGTTTGACGGCTCCATCTACAAGGAACTTTCCATGGCGCAGGGACCAAGTGGCGTCCTCTTGTGTCTTCTCATGTCTGCCAGACTCCCTATTCTCCCTGCTCAGGTGAGGGGAGTGTGCTTGTTCTGTAGTGGGCAGAAATTTCGGCGAAACCTGTGGCGATGGTGATGGCAAGGTTAAGTCTTCCGACGGAATCCTATCAGATACTTCCTTTATCATCCTCAATGCCAGTTCCAGCTCCTCTAGAGGCGATGGTGATGGCAACGTTGAGTCTCCCGACGGAATCGCTGCATCTGCGATCTTCGGGTGTCTCCTCTTTCTCAAACGCCTGCGCTTTTTTAGCGCTTGCAACAGCTCCTCTAGAGGCGATGGTGATGGCAACGTTGAGTCTCCCGACGGAATCGCTGCATCTGCGATCTTCGGGTGTCTCCTCTTTCTCAAACGCCTGCGCTTTTTTAGCGCTTGCAACAGCTGAACGGCCGACTGCTCGGGGGAAGGATGCACACCCAGTTCCAGGTCAACCTCGAGCGCCCCGGCCATTCTGGCTGCGCTGATGCTACGACTGCTTCCATTGTTGCTGCTGCTTCGCTTTCAATACGTGTCCTTAACTCCTCTTCATGGTGCTTCTGGAGGTTCTATCGTGCGTGTGGAGGTACCATTGTTGTTGCAATCTCCTGGCCCGCCCGCACAGATTCGGGCTGCTTCTGACTGAAGTTCGCTTGTGCTGGCATGCCTTGTTCGAAAACATCCCTTACCAACCTTGAGGTACCCTAAACGCTTGATTTACTTAAACCCCCTTGTAACCGCATGTATGTTGATGAAATGTTCCGTGGAGTGGACAGCAGCAAAGCTTTAGTGTCGTAACGCACGTCATGACATGTGTGTCTGTGAATCTGTTGCAGCCACATTTTTGCCGCTTCAGGGGTTGCAAAAATAACATCATGTCTTGCCTGGCTGCAACCCCTCTGAACCCGCAGCGATAGCAGGTAACGAGCAATGACCATCCACATGTGCAATCAGGCCAAAAAAATGGAGCTTGTCGGCGGCGGCCTGAAGCATTGGCAATATTTGCTGTTCTGAACCGCAGGCAAACAGATTTGTAGACTTTCTGGCCCAATTACGTCAGTGTAGTCTTGGATCATCAGGACACTTTTACAAATATGATGCAACATACCCCGAATCCCTGTTCCAAGGATTTAGGCCTCTGCAGTGAGAGTTTGCAACCTTGGCCACGCATTAAAGGCATTAAAGATTCAACGTAGGGGTTTCCAAAACTCCTTGATGCGTTTTGGGGCGTTCTGTTTAAACAAAGGCTATTGCAATTAGACTTGGGTCTAGATTGTTGGGTTGCTCCCCGCTTAAGGAACCTCGACTAAAACCCAAAAAGGAACTACGCATGAGCCCCTAAGGTATTCCATGTAAGTCTTCACCAAGGGAAATACGGTAATAACCGCCGCCAGGTCTGTACTGTAAGGGTGCATTCCTCTGCTCCCTGGTGCCTTTACACGGAATGGGAAAGAAGTTTGTGTTTATCATGATGTTTGGGGGTTTTAATCTGTATACGGGAAAGGGGGAGTGGGCTAAAGAGATCATTGAAGGTCTCTCATTTTTTAAGCACCAGCCAGGCAATCTTCGATGCAAGCCGTCCTTTTCACCAAGGCTGGCAGCTAGCTACCCCACCAGCTGCTCTGCGGGCGCGGCTTCAAACTGAACTTAAAATGCCTAAAGGAGCCTTGCAGCGGGCTGCTCCATGTGGGGGTTTCCCCAAGTAGGGGTACCACTATGGGAGTCCCCTCAGTTTTGTGGCTAGGCTTTCGGGATGTGATAGAGTTTCTGCGGAACATACACGACTTTCTTACTATAACTCATATAGGTGGTTGCGCAGCAATGGGCTGGCAAGTGGTCTGGCTGGTGTGTTGCTCTCAATGCATACAAACAACTCAGACAGCATGCAAGCTGAAGCATTGAAGTCTCTGGGGTTGAGGTTTGTTGGGCTCAGGTTATCTTTGATGTTGATGAGGCCCTGGTGATAGGGTCACCGCCATCCAAATTGGATTGGCTCCAATGTTTGTGGCAACCTGCAAGCATCCATAAAGCGAAGGGCACCAGCAATCACAACAATGCTGCTGAAAAGCAGTGTGCATCCTAAGGGTCATCTTCCTAACCATGACTATAAGACCAGAAGCCACAAGCACAGAGATTACCTCACGAGCGTTCATCAACCTCTCAGACAAGGACTAAGAACTGTATACAAGCAATGCTGGATCCCACTTTTGATGTTCTTGCGGGTCG